GTTCTGAGTTGACTGAACTTTGGTGATATTGGACTCAATTGATTGATTGAATTTGAAAAACTTGCGCTTTTTTTATTTTTCAGATACTTGATACCGCGTTGATCGTGGAGTGATCGTTGGAATGTAGGCGAAACGAATTCTTCAAAAAAATTTGCTTATCATTTGCGAGAAGTCATTTTATGACGTTTGAACCTTTAGGATATGTTCAAAAATACGCGTCCATCAGTTGGGGGTGTTGGCATGCGACTTATGCAAAAAATGGGCTGGAGACCAGGTGAGGGTCTTGGTCCTGATGGTATGGGCAGTGTTGAGCCGTTGGTATTGGATGTGAAAAATGATAGAAAGGGTAAGCTGTGTATCTTATGCAAAGAGGAATGGGCGAAAATATGACCTTCTAGGTTTGGTGGCGCAAGATGACATTGGTGCCAAAGGAGGTGTGAAAAGTGGCGATGTCATAGGTGAGTTGTTATCTACTTGCTTTAGTATGAGCTTGCTAGAACATCGCAAAAATATAGGGTTAGTAAAATGTCATTCTAGCAACAAAACATCCTGTGTCTATGGTTATGGAACTTTGCGCAAAACGTAAATGGCCAGCCCCAACATTCATCAGCCACGAGTCTGGCCCATCCAATCTAAGGGAGTTTAAATGCACAGTAAGTGTGGCTCCCGTTGTTCATTGTTCAGCGATAAATTTTGTTTCTTCATTGCAGGCAATTGTAAACGGCGTAGAGTATAAGTCAGATGTCATATCCCGCAGCAAAAAGGACGCGAAATCCGTAGCATGTCAGGTATCCCGCGAACCGTTTTTGGGATTAGTTATCGTGTCATTTTCAATCCACTACACCTCAACATTAATTTCAGATAGTTCTTCAGTCCCTTGGCCTTGTACCTCGTGATCCATCATTACCGGTTGTTATATAAGTAGTACAATAATTTTTAGCATGTAGATCATCATGATATGTCAGCCTTTGGGTTCTACTTATTTTTTTTATTTCTTATTTGTTCTCCTCTTTCTTCTCCTTTCCGTTGCATTAGGTTGATTAGAAATTGATTATTTATTGACGTATGTGGTTGTATTTTTCTTCTTTTTTTTTCTCCAGTAATAAATACTCGTTTTGTATCACGGAGTTGCTCAGCTTTGTGTACAAGTTTATCTATAGACTTTAAAAAAAACAACCAAAGAGTATAGGTAAATCTGTACACTTTGTTTTTCTTGCAGAGACTAGGTTTTTCAGTGTTTCGATATATGGAAGCGTGAATGAACAATTTTAAAAACCCTTGTATACTTTATTTTGATAATTGTACAGATTATTCAGGTAAACGCCCAATTGCACGAAATGTACACTTATTGTGGGTAGGGATGTAGAACCTTATCACAATAGGCATCAAAGAAACTAACAATATTTTGTATTGTGAATTTCGTCATTGGGGGAGCCTATCGAAATTTCTTATGAAACTCATGCTTACTGATTTTCTTCTTCGGGCTCTGTAGTTTGGGATCCGTCTGAGATACATCTTCATCATTTAATGACTTCAAATCAAACGGCGAGACTGGATTAAATGCACTGCCATGGGCATAGGAATACGGCGAAGTACCCTGAAAGTGAACGGTTTTGGGGAGATTGATGTGGTTAAGGATTTAAGTGTGCCCTACATATTCAAATGCTCCAGAAAGTGGGAAACGAACACCACCTGTATCTCCTGTGGGTACAGGAAAATCTACGCCGCCAACGAAGAATAGGTCATCACCTGGAGAAGTAAATCGAGCATTTAAGGAATGGTTGTCCAGCTAATCACTTGTACATTAGAATGTTCCATAAATCTTTCCCACATATGAAGGTGCCGTTGTGTTGCGTAGAAACTACTATTTTTCCACAACTTTCTCCGTCATTCCTCCTCTTTT